GTAGGAAGGAGAGGCCGACTTCTGGGAAGAGATGAAGAGAAGGCAGAGCTGGGAACATTGCTAAAGAGAATATAGGGGTGGGGAGTAAGGAAGCTGGGCCTAAGGGGTTGCAGGGAGAGAAGGCAGGGAGGCTAGCTGGCAATGGCAATGGTGGCCATGGGCCACTTCCCAGCCACTGTGTCCCCAGCACCACATGGGGTCAGTGTCGGGTCGCTCGTGGTGGAGCTGACTGGCCAGGTGGAGGGCAGGCTCCATTCCCTTCCTCCCCTCCTTGCCCCCAGCAAGGTGATTGAGCACTGTAGCAACTTTAAAGAAGAAAACATGGACACGTCCAGATAGATGCCTCCGTCGCTCCGGACCACGGCCTGGCCCACGCGGGGACGCAGCTCCCGGGGCCTCTCCCGCAGGCCGAAGAGACGTGGGAAGGACTTTTGCACAACCGACGCTTTTCCTTAACATTAGTGAGATATATATATTATATATATATATATTATTTTTTTTGGTTAGGAAGTGTGAAGTTTTGTGTGTATGATTTCTGTATGAAAACTAAGAGAAACCCCTCCCCGAGTCCTCGCAGCTTTTTGGTCATTGTCACTTGACCGAGAGAGCCTTTGTTGCTGCCACCCTCACCCTGCCCTGGCAGGCCTGAGGCCCGTGACACGGGGAGGTGGTCCCGGCCTTTCCTGTTGGCCACTCCCGGGCCAGACAGCGCAGCTGATGGGGTTCAGAGATCCAAGCCGGTCCCCCAGACCTCTGGGGCTTCCCAGCGCTGTGGTGCTCCCAGCTGTTGGCCGTCTGGGGTTGGAGTGGAGTGTCCCCTGCCCCCCAGAGGCCCCTGGAGGAGCAGGACTCCCCGGCCAGGCCTGCCTGTGGCCACGCTGCTACGGAGGCTGCCTCTGAGTCTCCCCCCAGGCCCCAGGCTCCCACAAGGCCGCAGTCAAGGGCGATTCCATCTACCGCCCCCCCCCACTCCCGCCAAACACATCCAGAAGCCGCCCACAGCTCCTGAAGGCTGGGGCCTTGCTCCCTCCTTCTTCCATTCTCTGCCCACGAGCACCTGTGGTGCCCAGGCACCCCCACCAGCAGAACTGAGCCTGCCTCATGCACCCCACCCACCCCACTGCCCAGAGGAGGCCCAGACACCTCTTCAGGCGGGAGGCCCCCACCACGGCCACCCAGACCAGCACATGGACTGCTACGGTGGCTGCTGGACCCTCCCGCCACCGTGGACGTCTCAGCACCTGTGTGCCCCCCTTCCCGCACGTTTCTCATCGGACACAGGGGTGGAGAAGCCTGGGGTAGAGCCCCTGGAGCCCCCTCCCCATGACTGTGGCCAAGGCCAAGAGCGAGGCTGAGGAGGGGCCCTCCCTTGTGCCCTGGGCTCACTTGGTCCGGTCAGAGCTCCACTCGTGTTGCTTTCCCGTCTGGGGCTGGACGGGTATCTGTACCCAGTTGTCACAAATACATTTTTGTGCAAAGTGAAGATGAACAGTGTCTCTTTTATTTTTTTTCACATGGTGGGGTGGGGTGTGGCTTTGCTGGCCTGGCTTTCAGGGTCTTGAGAAGGGCCTGGGGGACCCCCAGAGAGGAGTGCAGGTATAGCTCTGTGGTGTGGAGAGCGGCTGCATTTGAGGGTTTGTGTGCCTGGTCCACGGGGCCCATCAGTGGCACTCTAGGGCACCTGGCACCTGCTTGTTCACTGCTCGCCTGTGCCATGCATCCTGGTAAGGCCTGTGCCACAGGGCTCAGACAAGAAGGAGGGAGAGGTGCCTGCTGCAGGGCCCTGGGGTTTTTGGGGGCAGAGCCCCCTCCATGAGCAGAACAAAATGCACCGGTGTCCGCAGTGCCTCTCCCCAAAGGAGCTGCCGAGTTGTGTCCCCAGAGAAGATGCCAGCTGGCAGGCCCGGGTCCGGGGACCTGGGGATGGGTCCCAGGCAGAAGCACCTGCCAGCATAGTGCAGCAGCCCCTGGGGCCACAGCAATGATGGAGGAAGACAGGTAGGAGCAGGTAGGGACAGGGAGCTGAAGCCCAGGTGCCACCTCTGGCCCAGGACAGTGCTGTGTGCATCCAGCTACCAGGGCCATTGTCCAGTGCCCTGCTGGCCACGCCAAGGCTGTGGCTTCCCTTCTCCCCGGCTGGGCACAGTAGTGGGATAGGCCTGAAGGTTCTAGAACAGCAGCATTCTTACCTTGTCCTCCACCATAAGTCAAAGTACCCCTTTTTCATCCCCTGAGCAGCATGTGGGCCAGGTCTTCTTTTCCACGGGTGACAGCCCCCACCCACTGGCCACCCAAGGGCCCTGGCACAAAGGATGCTGAGAAAATGGTTTTGTCCTGGGGGCACGCCAGCCCAGGCAGCGGACAGAGCTGAACTCCCTCTCTGCCTGTCACGCCCTGTGCTGAGCTTATCTCGGGCTGCTTGCTGTCCGGTCATGTCCTCCCACTGACCCCTCTTAATGGAGGAGGTCACTGAGGTTGTAAGGGGTGCAGTGACTCATGGCCTTGGGGTTGCTGTGGCCTCTGCAAATACTAAGTCGGCCTCCAGTCACTGCAGGGAGTTCCTGGGCGTGCAGGAAGAATCCGGTGCCCACAAAGGCGTGGCTTAGAGGTGCTGCAGCGGGAGCGTGTGTGCTGGGGCAGGGTGTGCTCAGGCCTGGCACAGCGCTCAGACGCCCGCACTTGGCTTCCTGTGGGCACCCCTGCCACAGAGCCTGTGTCCAGGGACCTGAGGCTCTCTCCCCTACTCCTGCAGCTACTGTCCCTGCCTTGCAGGGACAGAACACAGCCAAGCCACACAAGTACTTCATTTTGTGCTGCAAAATAAAGCACAGTACCTGTGCCCAGGGAATTACAAAGAACAAAGGTTTGTGCTCCTATCCGTGGGAAGAGGTAGAAGACCATGGGGGAAAATGGGAGGAAGTGGAAGGACATGGGAGGAAGTGGGAAGAACATGGGAACTGTGGGAGGAAGTGGGAGGAGGTGGAAGCCCGTGGGAGGAAATGGGAGGAAGTGGGAGGACATGGGAGCATGTGGAGGACATGGGAAGGACATGACTGGATGTGGGAATACACAGGGGAGAAGCAGCAGCACCCTGTCGGTTCTCAGGAGTCCCCTTGACCCCGTTGCTCTGGCACTGGGACCAACACCTGAGTTTTAGGGAATATGTCCAGCAGAGGAGAGAGTGTCACAGGGGTCCAGCTGCAACACACGTGCCGACAGATACATCCGAGGTGCCCAGGAAGCAGCAATTTGCATTCTTTCTCATCCCACTGAGCTTCCTGCTCCTGTTTCTGGGAAGCAAGGGACAACAGCCCAAGGACCTGGGTCTCTGCCTCCCGCTTGGGAGACTGAGATGGAGTGTGGCCTGGCCCTGGCCCCAGCAGCCCCAGCCCCGGCCCCGGCCCCACAGCCCCAGCCCCGGCCCCAGCAGCCCCAGCAGCCCCGGCAGCCCCAGCCCCAGCAGCCCCAGCCCCAGCCCCAGCAGCCCCAGCCCCAGCCCCGGCCCCAGCAGCCCCAGCCCCAGCAGCCCCGGCCCTGGCCCCAGCCACTGCAGCCACACAGATGGTAAAGCAGTGGATGGCAAGTGTCTCTGTCTCTCCATCTTTCTCTTGCTCATGCTACCTTACAAAGAAATAAACTTCATGATGGCTCAGTAGCTAAATCCTCATTATGCAAGCTCCGGGATCCCACACGGGCACCAGTTTGTTCCAGCAGTTCCACTTCCCATCCACCGCACTGCTTGTGGCACCCATTGTTGTGTTGGTCATTTGGGGAATGAAACAACAGATGGAAGGTATCTCTCTGTCTCTCCCTTTCTCCTTAATTCTGCCTTTCAAATAAAGTCTCTTAGCGGTTAAAGTCCTTGCCTTGGACACGCCAGGATCCCACATGGGTGCCAGTTCTAATCCCACCTGCTCCACTTCCCATCCAACTCCCTGTTTGTGGCCTGGGAAAGCAGTTGAGGATGGCCCAAAGCCTTGGGACCCTGCACCCATGTGGGAGACCTGGAAGAAGCTCCTGGCTCCTGGCTTCGGATTGGCTCAGCTCCAGCCATTGCGGCCGCTTAGAAAGTGAACCATCGGATGGAACATCTTCCTCTCTGTCCCTCCTTCTCTCTGTATATCCGCCTTTCCAATATAAATAAAATAAATCTTTTAAAAAAAGGCGAGGACTTGAACCGCTGCGACATTGTGCCGGGCCCAAATAAATAAATCTTAAAAAAATAAAAATAGGGCCCAGCGCGGTGGTGCAAGAGGGCCTTGCATGCCCGGGATCCCATATGGGTGCTGATTCTAATCCCGGCAGCCCCGCTTCCCATCCAGCTCCCTGCCTGTGGCCCGAGAAGCCAGTCAAGGACGGCCCAAAGCTTTGGGACCCTGCACCCATGTGGGAGACCCAGAAGAGGCTCCTGGCTTCGGATCGGCATAGTATCGGCCGTTGCGCTCACTTGGGGAGTGAATCATCGGACGGAAGATCTTCCTCTCTGTCTATCCGCCTTTCCAATAAAAAAAATAATAATAAAAATAAATCTTTAAAAAAAAACCAATAAAAATAAAAACAGTGCCAAGGCTGGACTTCCCACTTCCACCACATTTGCAGTGTCTGAAAAACGAGCAGCGAGGACCGAAGGCTGCGAGTCCTTAGTCTTCGCGTCCCGAATAGGCACATTTTAGCCTTCTGGACATGAACATTGGCCTCAGCACTAGGAAGCGCCCCACGGGCTGTCACGCCCGCCCTGGCAGGTCCTGCACCGCCCAGCCCGGTCACCCTGGCCTCCCTAAGTTACCTGGCTGGTGCAGGGTGCCCTTGGGCCGGACCCGGCTGCGCGCGCGTCGGCCCCGCCCTCGGCCTCCCCAAGCACCTGTTGGCTTGAGGGGCCACACGGCAGCAGCGACCACCCAATAGGAAGCCTCGGTAGCCCGATCTGCCCCGCCCCCGGCCGGGTCCGCCAATCCTCGGGCGCCCTCGGCTCCTGTCCCTCGCAGGGCCAGCCCCTCTGGGCGCTTCTTCCGGGTGGGTCCCCCGGCCGTGGCGATGGCGCCCTGGGCGCTGCTCAGCCCCGGGGTCCTGGTGCGGACCGGGCACACCGTGCTGACCTGGGGGATCACGCTGGTGCTCTTCGTGCACGATACTGGTGAGCCGGACCCCGGAGCCACCCAGACGCCTGGGTCCCACTGAGGTCCCCTACCTGTTCTTCCCAAGTCTGGATTCACCCCAAACCCGCCAGCTCCTGAGGCCCTCCTCCCCGGGCGGTGCTTGAGAGCCACCTGCCCTCCTGCCTGCGACCCGGCTGGTCCCCAGTTCATCTCAGCGTCTTCCTGACCACGGCCGGCCGGCTGCCCTGTCCATCCCGGGACTCACCAGATGCAAGGCTGAGCGCCCCATACCTGCCTTCCAGGATTCCCTCCCGCCCCCCCAGTCACTCAGGAGATGTTGGCCCCGGGCTTCCTGCCCACTCTCCCACCCAACCCCAGTCATTCTCAGGAGCACCGCCCACCCACCCCCCAAGCACTTCACTGCCAGACCATAGACCTGTTCACTCTCACTCCTCAGACCCCAACCTTGGCCCGAGCCCCTCCTTCCCCTTCGATACATAAGCGCCCACCCTGTCACCTCCCATTACTCTGAATAAAGTGCATTGGAACTGCTCCTCCTCCCACAGCCTAAGCAGGTAGCCCTGGGGACCCCAGCTCCAGGCCTTGGCTGGGCCAGCCACGACACCTCACCTCCAGCCACACCTCTACCCTTCCTGTCCCCTCCCACCTCACCCCTCCTGGTCCCCTTCCTGCCCCCAGAGCTGCGGCAGTGGGAGGAGCAGGGGCGGCTGCTGCTGCCACTGACCTTCCTGTTCCTGGTGCTGGGCTCGCTGCTGCTCTACCTGGCCGTGTCGCTGATGGACCCCGGCTACGTCAGCCTCCAGTCCCAGGCCCAGGTACCATGAGCCCAGAGGGGTCCTCAGCAAGGAACCAAGTCCCAGGGGCAGTCTGTACGCCAGGGCCCGGGCTGCAGGCTTCCTACCGCAATTATATATATATATATATGATTATGTATTTTTATATATATATATATATGATTTATGTATTTTTATTAGAAAGGCAGATTTACAGAGAAAAGAGAAAGGTCTTCCATCCACTGGCTCACTTTCCCAAATGGCCACAATAGCCAGAGCTGAACTGATTGGAAGCCAGGAGCCAGGAGCTTCTCCAGGTCTCCCATGCAGGTGTAGGGTCCCAAGGCTTTGGGCCATCCTCGACTGCTTTCCCAGGCCACAAGCAGGGAGCTGGATGGGAAGCGGAGCTGCCGGGATTAGAACTGGCACCCATGTAGGATACCTGTACTTTCCTGCAGGTGGAGGATTAGCCAATTGAGCCATTGCATCATTACACCCCTCCCTCTAAATAAATTTTTCTTTAAAAAATATGTATACGAAAGACAAAGAGAGCTTCCACCCACTGACTCACTCCCTGCCACTGCCAGGGCTGGGTTAGGCTGAAGCCAGGAGCCTGGAATTCCATACTGATCTCCCAGGGATGGGGGGCCCAAGTGCCTGGACCACCTTCTACTGCTTTCCCAAGCACATTGGCAGGGAGTTGTTTAAAAGCAGGGAAGCCGGGACGTGGGACAGTGACCCCAGCAGTGGCTTAACCTGTTGTGCTACAACCACAGCTGTGGGGAGGCAGCCCTCGGTAGCCCCGTCCCCACAACGAGGAAACCAGAGAACATGCAGGCTGAAGGACACACAGCCTCACTTGGGCCAGGGTGTCCCAGCCAAGTGACACTCTGTACGGGGTACGGCTGGTCCCAAGAGTGACACCTCCCATGAGTTCCCACCCACACCTTCATTTGCAGGAGACAGCCAAGGAGGAGCAGACAGCCCTGGTTCCCCAGGTCATCCCCCTGCGGCGCTGCCGGTTCTGCCTGGTGCTGGTTAGTGCTGCCTGAGGTCCCTCTGCCCCAGCCCTGCCCTGCCCACTCCTTCCTCACCACCTATAGGAAGGCCTCCCAGATTCCATTCCTGTCCCCAGCCCTCATCCCTCTCCTCAATGTTGGGTCCATGGGAAGGACGCCCTACCCCAACTCCCGTCTGTCCATCCGTTTGTGCCCATAGCAGCCCCTGCGTTCCCGGCACTGCCGAGACTGCCGCCGCTGCGTTCGTCGCTATGACCACCACTGCCCCTGGATGGAGAACTGCGTGGGCGAGCGCAACCACCCGCTCTTCGTGGCCTACCTGGCACTGCAGCTGCTGGTGCTCCTGTGGGGCCTGTACCTAGCCTGGTAGGTGCCCACAGCCTCTACCCTGGGGTGGGGATGGTCCAGGCAGAGCCAAGTGGGGCATCCTGGGGCCCAGGCCACTCCCAGCCCCCGGCTCTGTCCGCGTCCTGCAGGTCTGGCCTCCAGTTCTTCCAGCCCTGGGGCCCGTGGCTGCGCTCCAGCGGGCTCCTGTTTGCCACCTTCCTGCTTCTGTCCTTCCTCTCACTGGTGGCCACCCTGCTGCTGGTGTCGCATCTCTACTTGGTGGCCAGTAACGTTACCACCTGGGAGTTTCTCGCGTCGCACCGTATCGCCTATCTCCGCCAGCGCCCCAGCAACCCCTTTGACCGCGGCCTGACCCGCAACCTGGCACACTTCTTCTGTGGGTGGTCGTCGGGGTCCTGGGAGACCCTCTGGGCCACAGAGGAGGAGTACGAGGAGGATGGCAGCCAGGCTGTTTAGGGCCTGCCCGTCTCATGCCTACAAACTGGAGAGGCTATGCATACCCCAGCCAGTGGCAGCCATCAGGTGGGGGACAGGCAAAGCTCTGTGGGGCCGCTCCCTCCTCCTCGGGCTTGGCACAGAACCCCCAGACTGACTCCTGGCCCCAGCGGGCAGCTGTGCCTTCCAGTGGAACAGCAAGAGGGGCGTGGGCCAGCCCACCTTCAGAGCAGTTTGGCATGTTTAATGACCCAGAAAACAAGTTGAGTATTAAAACCATAAGCAGCTCTTCACGACGGCGCCATTTCTGGTCCAGGTCTCCCCAGGAAGCAGGGGAAGGATGCCCAGCTGAGCCCCTCAACACCGGCCATCCCACCAACCCACAAAGCACACGCAGCCCAGAGGACAGCATGGGCCTGCAGGTGGCGCGCGAGTACTGGCTCTGCCGGTCTGGCCTGGGCAAGGGGCCGGGGGAGGCCCTTCAGGGCTCCAGGAAACGCTCAGATACAAAGTCGAAGTCCTGGAAGGCGGCCTGCTGGCGGGCGGTGAGAGCACTCGGCGGGCGGGGCGGAGTCAGGGCCGGTGGCAGCGTGGTGAACTCGCCCTCAAAGTAGCGCAGGTCAGCGGGACTGCACAATGTGGGCACGAAGGGAGGCCGGACGGCGCGGGCCAGCAAAGCGTGCCAGTCGATGGCCTGGGGCCAAGGGCACAGGGGGCCTGAGAGGACAGCCATACCGGCCCCCTGGGGCTGGGGGGTTCCCCCACACTGTCCCCTACCCACTGCCCACCCTGGGCCCCCAACTCACCTGGAAGAATGGCTGCACCTTGATCTCCTCCGCATCCTGCACACCTGCCCCCAGCCGCTGCTCGGGGGTCTTCTGAAGGAGCTGTGACAAGGGGCGCATTCAGCGGGGCCAGCTTGACAGGCTCCCCTGGTGCCCCCTGAATGGGAGACCCAGGAGCAGCGTCCCTTCCTCCCGCTGCTGCGCAGCCTGCAACCTGCACTGCTCACCTTCTGAATGAGCTCCAGGCTTTGGACTGAGAGAAAGTGGGGGTACCGGGCATCCGTGTTGACGATGCAGTCAAACACTTCCTCCTCTGTGTCCCCTGGGAATGGGCACTGTGGAGACGGGGTTGGGGAATGGGGCAGACTCAGCAGGGTCCCCAGCTGAAGACCACACCGCTTTCCTCCCTGCATACCCCCTCCCCTGCTGGTACTCACCTCCCCCACCAGCATCTCGTACAACAGCACGCCCAGCCCCCACCAGTCCACAGCCCGCGTGTAGGCCTCCCGTGTCAGCACCTCAGGGGCCAGGAACTCCGGAGTGCCACAGAACGTGCTTGTCCAGTCCCCAAAGCCGATCCCTGCAAAGGATACAGCCCCCCAAATCCATCCACTCAGACCCACTGTGCCATGGGGAGCATGAGGGATGACATGGGGCCGCACAAGGACACGACCTCAGCCACACGTGCAACGTCACACGGAAAGCAGAACAAGTGTCCTCCCCTGGCCCTGACTGCAGTGCAGCCTACGAGGGAAGAGCCAGGATACCTAGTGGCTCCGGGCAGGAAGGACCAAGGGCAGAGACAGGACATAGGTGGGAGGGGAGCCACCCCCGCTGGCCCCCACCTTCCTTGCACAGCCCGAAATCCGCTATCTTGAGGAAGCCCTGGGCGTCCAGCAGGAGATTGTCCAACTTCAGATCCCTGAGCAGAAGCAAGAGACAGATCCAGGTGGCTGAGGACGAGGGGGGACCCCATCTCACGCTGTCCCTCCCCCCGCAGCCCTGCCCACTTGCCCCCATCCGTGGGCGAGGGGGTACCTGTAAATGATCTTCTTTTCGTGCAAGAACTGCAGCCCCAGGAGCACACAGGCCGTGTAGAAGCTGAAGAGGTGGGTAGACTTAGGCCTGGGGTGCCCCCCTGGGTTACGCCTCCAGACAGTGGTCTCAAGGCTGCCCACCCACCCTGTCGGGGATGCTCAACTGTGCCCGGCATTCTGCAGCCTCCTCCTGAGGCTCAAAGACCCTAAATGAGGGGCCTGCCTGGGGTCCCACAGCATGTGGCAGAGCTGCTGCGCCAACCCAGAACTGCAAGACAAACAGTTAGGGTCCTGGGCTAGGCTCCTTATTATTATTTTTTTTTTTAAAGACGTATTAATTTTATTTTCATTGGAAAGGCAGATACATAGATAGGAGGAGAGACAGGGAGGAAGATCTTCTGTCCGATGATTCACTCCCTAAGCGGCCGCAATGGCTGCAGCTGAGTCAACCTGAAGCCAGGAGCTTCTTCCAGGTCTCCCACATGGGTGCAGGGTCCCAAGGCTTTGGGCCATTCTCGACTGCTTTCCCAGGCCACAAGCAGGGAGCTGGATGGGAAGCAGGGCCGCCGGAATTAGAACTGGTGCCCATATAGGATCCTGGCACGTCCAAGGCGAGGACTTTAGCTGCTAGGCCAGAGCACTGGGCCTGGGTTAGGCTCCTCTTATCTGAGCTCCAGGTCAGTGCATGCCCAATTACCAGCTACATAAACAGGCCAGCATCAGGAATGCTGTGAGAGTTGAAGTCAAAGCTGTGGTGCAGCGGGTTAAGCAGCCGCCACAGACTCCAACATTCTGAATAAGTCTTGGCTGCTCTACTCTGATCCAGCTCCCGGATAATGCGACTGGGCAAGCAGCAGAGGATGGCCCAAAGACTTGGGCCCCAACACCCATATGGAAGACCCAGAAGCTCCTGGTTTTGGGTCAGCCCAGCTCTGGCCCCTGGGGCCATTTGAGGAGACCAGCAGAAGGAAGATCTCTCTCATTCTGTCTCTCCCTCTCTCTAATTTTGCCTTCCAAATAAATAGAATACATCTTTATAAAAAATGTTCTAAGAATTGGTATCAGGGCTTGAACCAAGGCCTCTTCGATTATATGCTCTTTGCCGTGGCGTACCCTGGGGGAAGCAGGATCGAGGGGTCTGGGGAGGGGGTCCCAGGGGAAATTGGTTTGAGCCATGAGCCACGGCGATGGGAACGCACCGGGCCTGGGGCTCCGGGAAGACGTCCTCATGGATCTGCATCATAAGGTCACCCCCAGGCACAAACTCAGTCACAAAGCAGGCGTGGCTGGAGGTCTGGAAGCAGGCGAGGAGCGAGAGCAGGAAGGGGTGCCCGGCACGGCCCACGGCTTGCAGGATCCGCTTCTCACAGTACAGGCTGCAGGAAAAGGCGCAGGTCGCAGAGAGACGGACACTCTCAGGCTGGGCCCTGCCTCTCATGTGACAGCCCCGGCTCCCAGGCTGTCAGGCAGGCCAAGGACGGGCTTCTGTGTACTGAAGCACAAGGGGTTAATGGGCCTGCTTAGCTACCAGTACCCCACTTCAGGACCAGAGAGAGTGGGAAGAGGGGTGTCCTGCCAAAAGGCACAGAGCTCACAATTACAGCCACCAGAAACGGGAGCCAGGAGCAGGGCTGGGGTGCCCACATGGAGTTCAGGCTGGTTCCTGGCTCCCTACACCCGTTTCCAGCTCACACACCCCAGAAGGCAGTGCTGACATATGTCACTCCTTCCCAGTCTCCTGCTTTGGTAGTTTCATAGCCCAGTCTGTAGGATGAGCCAGCAGACGGAGTGCAATCTAACACACACACACACTGGAGGTGCCACCAGCTCGTCGGCTGGGTGTCAGCGGCCCAGGTGCCCATTGGCCCACCACACACCTGTCAATCTCATCACGGTTCAGCACCTCCTGCTTCTTCAGTGCCTTGATGGCGTAGTACTTCCCTGTGCCCTTGAACTGCACCAGGAGCACCTACAGGCCGTAGGGAGGTCAGGCTGCAGGTGGGCAGTGTGGAGAGCCTCCCCATTCGCACACAACACTCCCAGGGGTCACACACACAGGCCCTCCTGCAAACATGTAGGCCGTCCACCCCAACACTCACCTTCCCAAAGTGTCCCCGGCCCAGCACGGCCAGGCAGCGGAAGTCCTGGAGTCGGGGGGCCTTCCTGCAAGACAGAGGCCCCCCCAAGCCAGGGTCAAGAGCTTAGGGTCCTCCACGTCCAGCCCTGCCTATAGCTGGAGCCCAACACTGTCAGCTCTCCAGGTAACCCAGAGCGAGCTAATGCGGGGCCTAAGGGGTCAGCGCGAGATGGGGGCAGACAGACACATGCAGACGCTCGTACCCGGTGAGTGAGGCCGGCGGGGCTGCTGCCAGTCCAGGCCTGGGCTCCATGTGCGGGCGTTTGGTACGCTGTGAGACAGAGGGGCTCATAGCAGGGCTGGGCCACCCTCCTGCTCTCCCTCCAGGGCGGCCACTCCCAGTCCCAGCCCAGGCAGTCCCTGCGGAGACCATGTCTCCCCACCCCTCTCACCGGGGTCTCCTCGGGGGTCGGCTCCTGCGGCAGATAGAGGCGAGGGGGCTTGGGCGGGGGCCTCATCTCTTGTCCCAAGGGGCTCTTCTTGGGCGGGAAGTTACTGTGGGGTGGAGACATGTGGGCTTGAGGAGAAACAGGCAGGAGCAGGTGAAACAGCCAGCCTGAAGTAGATGGTGGGCAGACACCAAGCCACGCAGACGGAACAGAGGAGAGCCAGACCCTGGAGAAAGGTGGGTGCCACAAAGACACAGGTGGTCCCCAGCTTGGTGGCACCTACCTGGGGGAGGTGGGCTCTGGAGCCCCCCGCGGAGCTGTTGGAGTCTGAGGGCAGCCTTTGGGAGGGCTGATGGTGCTAGGTGAGCTACAGGGTGGCAGCAGGCTCATGACCAGGCGCCCCCAGGCCGCCATGCTGAGGTTCATCTGGGATGCCCTCAGGAAGTCCTGCCCTGGTGAAGGGGGTGCAGAATGGGGCTCAGTTGCTGTCACCCCTCCACAGAGTGCAACTTCCTCTATGTAAACCCCACCCCTCTGTATAAGCCCCACCTCCTTTGTGCAAGCCCCACCCCTTCCACACCTCTTCTTTTGGAGAAAATGCGTTTCTGTCTCTGCAGCCTGGGCCTCCTCTCAACCACAGGGTCACAGAAGGTCACCTGCAGGGCCAGGAGCAGGGCCAGTGACCGTCCCCATGGGCCCACCATCCCTCCCCTGCCCTAGGACCCCGGCTTGTGCCTCTAGAGATGGCATCCCTATCCTCACTGACTCAGACCCAGGCCCCAGGTCACACACAGGGAAGGACAGAGATGGGACACGGATATCCAGGAGATGTCCCCTCTGCGCCCCCGCTCCTCTGGCTGGACCTGGCTTCCCACAGCTCATCCCGTCCACAGCCCTTCTGGTCCCCAGGAGCCGGTCAGGGTGGTGGGTACCTGGAGGAATAGGTGCCCCTGTGGCAACAGGCTGACAGACAGCTCGTGACAGGTGTTGTCCAAGAAGTCCTCGAGCCTCAGGAAGGCCACACCACACAGCTGCCGCCAGTCCCGCCAGCGCACACCGACCTCCAGCTCACGGGCCTGGGGCAGGGAGGCCAGGCTGAAGAAGGGTGGGGCAGGGCACAGCAGGTGCACTGACCCTGGCCACCCCAACCCCATGCCACCCCCACCAGGGCCAACGGCTACCCTCATGATCAGCCTTACACGCTCCAGGGTGGTGACAAAAGTCTGGTCCCAGGACTGCCTGGCCACCGGCCCCCAGCCCGTCTGGCCCACCACACGGTTGTCTACCTTCAGCACGGCCAGCACCTCGCCTGCAGGCCGGAGCCAGCATTCAGGGCAAGTTGGGAACAGAGGTCCCCACCTCTGCCCACTCACCACCTCGCCCCAACTCACTGGTCAGCCCGCCTCCACCCCGCGGCTGCCTGGCCCGGGCCCACAGCCAGCTCTCGGAGGGACTGCTGGCCAGTGCAGCCATCGGAGAACGCCCAGGCACAGTGGTCAGCAGCTGCTCACAGCCCAGCAGGCGGACGTGCAAGGTCCCTGGGGGAGAATATGGGGAGGGTATGTCATGTGCTTTTTTGCCATTGTGCCCCAACCCTTGAGCTCCTGACCCCAGGGAGACCACACCTTGCAGGACGTGGCTGTCCAAGCTCCTTCCTGAGGCCCTGGCCAGCTGTACCGCAAGGGGCAGGGGAAATCTTGGGTGGGCAGTGAGAGGCCATACTGTGGCATGCCTCGGGCACCATTCATTCCTTCATGCCCCAAGGCCAAGCAAGAGTGTTTCCCTGGCCCTGAAAGTTCTCCCACCAGCTCGGCACGTGCCAGGCCTTCCCCAGGGCTCAGTGCAGGAGACTCTGGCCTGTTCTCTACACAAGGAGAGCTCTCAGCCTGCACTGCTTACAATTCAATCTTAGTTCAGGGTAAGAAAGAACATTCCAGGGCCCTACAGGGGAAGCCACAGTCTAGGACATCCGTATGTGGCACTTAGCCACTCAGGGTCCAAGACTGACAGTATCTGCCACACACAGGGCAAACCAAGTCATTTCTGGCTCCTGGTTTCAGCTTGCCCAGCCCAAGTAGTTGTGGCTGCTGGGAGAATGAATCAGCAGATGGAAGATTTTTCTCTGTCTCTCCCTCTCTAACTTCCAAGTAATTAAATCAATTAGGGCCAGCTCCACATGTAGCAGGTTAAACCGCTGATCATGGCCAGCATCCCATAGGGGTGCCAATTTGAGTTCTGACAGCTTCACTTGTAATGTGTCTGGGAAGGCAGTGGAGGGTGGCCCAAAGCCTTGGGTCCCAGCACCCATGTGAGAAGCCGGGAACAAGCTGCTGGTTTTGGATCAGCCTAGCCATCAGGGCTCTTTTGGGAAGTAAGCCTGCGGGAGGAAGACACTCTCCTTCTCTCTGCCTTTCCTGAGGACATGAAAACAATACATGATTTTGAAGATGACAGCAGCTATCCCACACCCATCGAGTGCTGTGTCACTTGGGGAGGTGGGTCTTGTCATCACTATTTAACAGGTGGGTAAACTGAGGCATGGAGAGGCCTCAGTGACCCAGGATCCTACAGTAAGGGGGGGGGGGGGACAGAATTGGAATTCTTCCTTAATACTCCTCTCCACCATCCTGCAGGGGCCTCCCCCAAAAGGGGAAGAGAACCCCACACTCCACAGCAGCGGGGGGGGTGGGGGTATGTGGAAGTGGGAGCAGGGGCTCCTGGCTACCTGTCAGGGCAGTGGGCTTCACGAGCGCCCCTGAAGGCCGGGGGTTCCCAGGCCCCACAGCCTGCAGCTCCCGGGCCAGGTGGCTGCGCAGAGCATGGGCCGGGGGCAGGCCTTCCAGCAGCTGCTCCAAGGCCAGCCGCAACAGGTCCAGTTTCTGGCAGGACTCCTGGAGCTCGGCCTGGGCCTGCAGCCGAGACACAGGCGGGGGTCAGGGGGTGCATGCTGTGGGGCACGATGGTCTGGGCCAACCACCCCCACCTGAGCAGTCCCCCCCTCCCACAGCGTGCTTCCTCTTCACTTCCCCACAGCCACCTGGGGGCAGCCTGTCTGGCACAACCCAGGGAGCAGCCCGCAGCATCCGACCTCAGCCAGGGCCTTGCGGTCCTGTGTCTTCCGGCCATCTAGCAGCTTCACGACGTTCTTGGCGCCCTCGGCCACGGCCGCCTCAATGTGCAGTCGGTGCTGCAGCTCTTCTGCCAGCAGCTCAGGGCCTGGGGGAGCAGGTCACCCTCAGCCTCTCGCCCTACACTGTCCTCCACTCCCTGCCACCCTGCGAGGCCTCACCTGGCTCAGGGGACCCGCTGGCCTCCAGGCTGCTGATCTTCATGCGTAGCAGGGCCACCTTCAGCTGGCTGTCGCGTAGCATCTGCTGGGCTGCGGCCAGGAGCTTCCTCTCCTACAGGGACATAACCCGGGCCCGTGAGGCCAGGGCTGGGCCCGAGCCAACTCCACCCTGCCGGCATCAAAGCCGGGCACCCATCCTCCATAGCAAGGTCAAGCTACAAGGCAAGGGTGGAGGGCAGAGCCCCCTCCATCAGGGCAGCAAGGGCTGACATCAGGCCACCCCGTCCCATCAGGGCTGGAGCCGAGCTTAGCTTCATCTGCCATCAGGACCAGGGCTAGCTTCTTGCATCAATTCAGGACTGGAGTTAGAGCTTCTACCCATTCGCTCAGAGCCAAGACTGACTCGCCCATCAGACAGGACTGGGATCGAGACCAGCACTGGGTCTCCTCTACCAGACCATGGCCGAGGGCGCCTCCCACCCCCTCTCCATGCCTGTTTGGACCTGAGTCTGTGTCTCCTCCGGCAGATGAAGGACTAGGATGGCAGGTTGACCCACCGGAGGTCAGCAGTTGGCATACACATCCCGGTCATGCCATCCCCTAGCCCCTGGGAGGGGACCAAGCAAGGGGGCCCTCACCTTTGGGGTGCCACTGGCGCATGTGTGTGTCATATTCTCCGCCCCTTGCTTCACCTTCAGTTCCACCTGCAGCTGCCTCCGCAGGGCTTCCAGGTGCCGGGCCCTCGGCTGCTCGGCCCAAGGCCAGGGTCCCGAGGACACAGGCTCTAGAACACGGGGAGGGTGAAGCACGTGGACCTGCCTGTTCCCTGGGGCCTGCAGAGTCCTGTCCGCTCCACCCCATGGACCTGGGCAGACAGCAGGGGCTGTGGAAAGAGGACAGGAGTAACCCAATTCCCCACTCACCGGCTGGGCCAGGCACAGGCGCGGGCAGCGGGATGCGAGCGTGAAGGTCTCGCAGCTGGCCATGCAGCTGCTCTAGGCGGCGGTTGGAGGCCCGCAGCAGCTGCTGCACGTGGCCCAGGTGGCGGCGGTCGGTGGCCACACGCCGCAGGTTCTCCATGCCCTCCTTGATCTTCAGCTCCTTCTGGATGGCCCGTCGGAGGGCCTCCTTCTCCTCCTCCAGGGGCTGCGGGCCGGAGCTAGTTGGCTGCAGGGCAGAGAGGAAGAGCCGGCCGGGCGGCCCTGTGTGGGTGGAGGTCCGGGACCCACAGATACACCTGAGGCATGGGCACATCTGTGCTATTGGAGCACTCAACCCTGGGCCACTCCCCAAGCCCAAATGCCTGCCCTGCAGCACTGAGAAAAGCAGGTGGGAAAAAACTGCTAAGATGGCACAGGGCTTCCTGGGTGCCAGCTCATATTCTGGGCACAGAGGGGACTTCAGGAGGTTCGCAGAAGAGTAGAATTAAAAGTTTAGGACTCGGGCCCGGCGCGGTGGCGCAAGTGTTTAAGGTCCTCGCTTTGCACGCCCAGGATCCCATATGGGCACTGGTTCTATCCCGGTAGCCCTGCTTCCCATCCAGCTCCCTGCCTGTGGCCTGGGAAAGCAGTCGAGGACGGCCCAAAGCTTTGGGATCCTGCACCCGCGTGGGAAACCCGGAAGATGCTCCTGGCTTCGGATCGGCATAGTATTGGCCGTTGCGCTCACTTGGGGATGAATCATCGGAGGGAACATCTTCCTCTCTGTCTCTCCTCTCTGTATATCCGCCTTTCCAATGAAAAAAATAATAAATAAAAATATAATAATAATAATAAAAAAGTTTAGGACTCAGCCTTGGTGCCACAGCAAGTTAAGCTTCTGCCTGTGGTATCAGTATCCCATATCAGTGTTAGTTTGAGTCCTGGGGCTGTTCCTCTTCCAATCCAGCTCCCTGCTGATGTGCCTGGGAAAGCAGTAGCGGATACTCAAGTGACAATTAGGTCACTACACCCATATGGGGAGACCTGGAGAAAGCTACTGGCTCTCTGCTCACTCCCTCCCACCACTGCAGCAGTTTGGGGATAAGCCAACAGATGGAAGGAAGATCTCTGTCTCTCCCTCTCTCCCTACCTTTCAAATAAATGAATCTTTTTTTTTTTTTTTTTAGTTTAGTTTTTACTGGAAAGTCAGACACACAGAGGAGGAGAGACAGAGAGGAAGATGTTCCCTCCGATGATTCACTCCCCAAGTGACTGCCACGGCCAGAGCTGAGTCAATCCAAAGCCAGGAGCCTAGCGTTTCTTCCGGGTCTCCCACACGGGCGCAGGGTCCCAAGGCTTTGGGCTGTCCTCGACTGCCTTCCCAGGCCACAAGCAGGGAGCTGGATGGGAAGCGGGACTGCCGGGATAGAACCAGCGCCCATATGGGATCCTGGTGCGTGCAAGACCAGGACTTAAGCCACTAGACTACCACACCAGGCCCAAATAAATGAATCTTTAAAACAAAACCTTTTTTTTTTCTTATTTTACTTGAAAGTCAGAATTACAGTGAGTGAGAGGGAAAGAGATCTTTCACGTGCTGGTTCACTCCCCAGATGGCTGTGAACAGCCAGAACTAGGCTGATCCCAAGCCAGCAGCCTGGAGCTTCTTGCAGGTCTCCCACTTGGGCGCAGAGGCCCACATCCCCACTGCCTGAGAGCCTGCGCTGGCAGGAAGCTGGAGCTGGCACTGAAGCCAGGCTATGAGACGTGGCCATCCCCACCCATTTGCTGGCCCAAACACCCACCACCCCCTTGCCTGGGTCTTAACATTTTCTTAAGAACTCTCTCTGAAGACCCCCATGTAGTGGCTCATCACTCCTTGCACAGTGGGCTGGCAGAGACAAGCTGTCCTGTTGTCATGTTGCAGACAGAAAGGGGTTCAGCCACCCGTCCAACACCACACACAGGGAAGGGGCCCCACCTCGTCCGGGCCTTATTTCTGGACCTCACAATGTGGAATCTGCAAGCCATAGAACACCGCACAGGAGGGACCTGTCCCAAGCCGCGGGGCGAAGGCAGCCAGGCGGGACGAACAAGAGGCCAGGACTGCCTCCAGACAGAGCAGGAAGGTCGGTGGGTGGCACGGCAAGGGGACTGGGCCCTCTGGGGCAGAGCTCCCTGGCTTGCTCCTCATCGGCCTGGAAAAGGCAGTGCCCACACCGCCCTCCATCAGGGTGGCCCATGTTGCCCCACCCCCTGCCCACCTAAAGGGACCCTGGCACGGAGCCGACTGACCTCACTGCCCTCCATCCCTGGAGTCCGGCGGCAGGGACCTCCCCCAGCTCCTGCTCCAGCCCTCCGCCTCCTCAGACTCAGGGGGCGAGGGCGAGGCTCAGGAAATCCTCTGACCAGCCCAGGCAGGAGGGCCGGGCCAGAAGGCCCAACAAACAAAGGGCCCTTGGAGCTAGGGCCCTGCCGGACGCCGGGGTCCTGAGTCACCAGCAGCCGCCGCCGCTGCCGCTCAGGGCGGAGACTGGAAGGAAATCGGAAAATGTGTCCAGGCTGCGTCTGGAATCGGCAGCGGGAGGAAGGGCTGGCAGGGGTCCGGCCCACCTGCAGGAGACCCCGGTGACTGCGGCGGCTCTGGGGGCAGCCTAGCAGCCCCTGGCGACCACTAGGACCCCTCTGCACTGAACACAGCCCCGGGCTGGAACCCACCAAGTTTGACTCCTCTTCACCTAACCACCCTGGACTAGGACACCCCCCTCTCTCCCTCCTCCAGGGACCTGGGCAGCACACTGGGCACCTGGCCGCAGCCCTGTGCGGTTGGGCAGGCTGTTGTCCTGCGGGGGCTAGGTCCCTGATCGCTCGCTCACTTGCTCGCTCTCTTTCACACACTCCAGGTGCTCGTGGGTCCCCCGTACGCACGCACACCTTCTTCCGCCACGTGCCAGCTGGCACAACCCGGTCATCGCCCTGCGCGCTTTCACCGGCTTTGGGGTCCCCCATGCAGACACACCAATTCCGGGGCATGCGGGGCGGGGCGGCCACACGGCGCAGGAGACGCGCTCCCCGCTGGCCCTCCGGCGACTCTGAGTCACCTGAAGACGATCCGAGCTGGGATTCAGGTCGGCCCTGCAAAGCTGCCTGGGGCCGCTCGGCCAGGAGGGCGCCCCGGTTTAGAGGGCGGCGCTGGAGCCGTTTAGGGGCGCACCCTCCCCCCCGGGCCCCGCGTGCCATTCACCTGCCGCGGCGCCCCCTCCTCCATGGCGCCGCTCCTACTCGCAGCGCCCCTCCTCTCGTCTCCGCCAGTCTTTCGGGTTCCGGAAGCCCCGGCCCCTCCGCCTGGACTTTTCAAACTTGAAACTTCCCGGGAAGCGGCCAGCGCGAATGCAGGATCGGGCGCCCCCTCCCGAGCCCCGCTGGTCGCCCGGCGCCTGGAGGACTAGCGCCGCCCCTCGGCCGAATTGGCCTCCCCACCACCCCTTGCCGGCTCCGCCCTTGCGGCCGAGATTCCGCGGGATTCTAGACCTGCACGCTGCGGAGCTGCGGTTCACACGCGCCCCGGGACACTGACCCGGCCCCCCGAGAGGCATTTCGCGAACGCGGGGACTCCGGCTTCGGCCGGCCGCGCGCCCTGAGGGGCCGGTGGCAGAGGGAGCACAGCCTCCCCTGGCGGCTGCTCAGCGCAGCGAGTGCGCACCGAGGCTGTGACCGCCTCTGGCTGCCCTGCCGAGTCCCCTCAGGCTCGAAGCCTGGAATGTAAGATGAGCTAGTGATCGGCTCACACGGAGGTAATGGCAAATGTGAGGGCAGACACTGGTCCCCTGGCCCAAGCACCTGCCTGGGGGCCTCTACCTCCACTTCCGTGCTCTCACCTCTAACCCCATTCACACCTTGTGGGAGGAAAAATAAAAGTACCCCAAATAAAGTTGACCTGGGAGGTGTGCCGTCTAATGCGGCTGGTTTGGACGGACAAGGCATGCCCAGACACCATCGGCAGCAGCATGTGGCAGTCACACCTGTCAGTATTTTTGCTTCTTTTTGTTAGGATACATTTATTGATTTAAAAGGCAGAGCGAGGTCCTCCATCTGCTGGGTCACTCCGCTAACAGCCACCACAGCCAGAGTAGGGCCAGGCAAAGCCAGCAGCCTGGAACTCCACCACCGGGGTCTCTCCTAGGATTGGCAGGAACCCATATTGAGTTGTCAACCACAGAGCCGCCAGGACTGACCAGCGCCATAACCCAGTGGACTACAACTCTGGCCCCATGTCCACTTTTGAGCGTTAGATACAAAAATCAGTACTAGACACACAGTAGGCTTGTTTTATTTCATTATTTTTATTGGAAATAAAACGTTGTAAAGGAGGCATAAAGTTCTTCCACGTGTCAATCCGTTCCTCAAGTGGCTGTGACAGCTGGACCTGAGCCAGTCCGAAGCCAGGAGCCAGAAGACTCCGCTAGGTCTCCCACACAGGTGCGGGGTCCCAGGGTTTGGGTCATCCTCCACCGCCTTCTCGGACCACAGGAAGGGAGCTTGATGGGAAGCACTTGGCCCATCAGCCACATGGGAAAACTGAACAGAGCTGCTGCCTCTGGCTTTGCCAAGGCCCACTCCTGCCCTGGCTGGTCCTTGTGAACTAGTGGACTAGTGGATAGATCCGTCCGACTTATAAGTGAAAAGAGATTTTTTTTTTCTTTAAAGGCCATTTTGTTCTCTTGAGACAACTGAAACAGCTGCTCAGTCGTGACTTCAGGAAATCCTGAGAAATCTTTATGCTTCATAGAACTTTATTTTTTAAAACTGTTTTTTAAAAGATTTATTTTTATTTGAAAGTCTTATATACAGTGATGAGAGACAGAGGAAGACCTTTCCTCCAATGATTCAGTCCCCAAGCAGCCACAACGGCCAGAGCTGAGCCGATGTGAGGCCAGGGGCCAGGAGCTTCTTCTGGGTCTCCCATGCAGGTGCAGGGTCCCAAGGCTTTGGGCCGTCCTCGACTGCTTTCCCAGGCCACAAGCAGGGAGCTGGATGGGAAGCAGGGCCGCAGAGATTAGAGCTGTGCCCATATGGGATCCGGGTGCATGCAAGGGGAGGACTTTAGCCACTAGGTTACCACACGGGGCCTTAAAACTACCTTTAGAAATGTATTCACTTTTATTGCAAAGTCAGGTTTACAGAGAGATGGAGAAAGATCTTCCATCTGTTGTCTCACTCCCCAAGTTGCCACAACAGCTGGAGCTGATCTGAAGCCAGGATACTGGCTTTGGGCCATTTTCTACTGCTTATCAGGCCACAAGCAGGCAGTTAGAATCAGGGCCCACATGGGATCCTAGAACATGTAAGGCAAAAGACTTTAGCCACTAGGCTATTGCACAGGGTCCAGAACTGAATTTTTTCTAATAAAGATTTCATAAGCAAAAGCTAATCAGAGGTAGAAATGCCTTCTTGGACCAAGTGAAGCCCTGCAATTGGCTGTTGTGACGCAGTGAGATTTCCCACAGCCTGAAATCCCCAAAATTCACAGATCCAAAACCTCATGTGCCCTTCAGGAGCCGTGCAGAAAGGGCCGTTGGCCAGACAGCCCTCTAACGTAGAGAATCAAGTGTTCAAAACTACTGAGCTCCAAGTCACACTCGCCCCAAGGATGGTTGGACAGCATTGCTTTGAGACTTTGAACTTGATGCTAAGGACACCTTGCCAGCTAGGGTCCTGTTTTCAAATTCCTCCTGGGGAGTCCGATGTAGTAGTCTAGTGGTTAAAGCCCATGCCTCGAAGGTACCAGGATCCTGTTCAGGTGCTGGTCCACTTCCCGAAAGGGCTCCTTACCTGTGGTCTGGGAAGGCAGTCAAGGAAGGCCCAAAGCCTTGGGATCCTGCTCCATGTGGGAGATCCAGAAGCTCCTAGTCAGCTCAGCTTGGGCTGTTGTGGCCATTTGGGGAATGAATCCATGGATGCAAGCCCTCTCCTCTCCATAAAATCTGATCTGCTTTTCCAAAATAAAGTTGCCATCTTGCTCGCAGCCTCGCTTCTATGTGAAGGGCAAGCAGACCTAAGTAATTTTCTGAAAGCCAAGGCTTAGCCACGTTACTCCCCACAGCACCTTTGGGCTCATCTGCCTCCAAGGGGAACAAAATCTCCAGTACCAATGCTGTGTTGAACCGAAGCCAGGATCCAGGAATTTCTTCCGGGTCTCCCACACAGGTGCAGGTTCCCAAAGCTTTGGGCCATCCTTGACTGCTTTCCCAGGCCACAAACAGGGAGCTGGATGGGAAGTGGAGCTGCTGGGATTAGAACCAGTGCCCATGTGGGACCCTGGGGGCGTTCAAGACAAGGACTTAAGCTGCTAGGCCACACCGCCAGGCCCCCCTGAAGCTTTCTATTGCTTTATTTTAAACTTTTTATTGGAAACTCCTATGCAGAGAGGAGACAGAGTTAAGCTGAGTTGATTGATTCACTCCCCAAGCTGCCACAATGGCTGGAAATGTGCCAATCTTATGCCAGGAGCTTCCTCCAGGTATCCCACATGGGTGCAGAGGGTCCCAAAGCCTTAGGCCATCCTTGACCGCTTTCCCAAGCCAGAAGCAGGGTTGCTGGACAGACCCATGCAGATATAGGAATCCTGATGAGTGCGAGGAAAGGACTTTAGCCCCTAGGCTACAGTGCCAGGATTCTTCCTCAAGCTCTCTTCACAAGCCAATGTTGTAGGATGGTGGGTAAAGCTGCCTCACCAGTTTCAGCAGCAACAGCTGCACTTTACCCCAAATATACCTAGAAATGCAGGTGGTAGTCACAATGCCTGGGTCCCAGTGCCCATCTGAGACTCGGATGCCCCTTGCTCTGCCAGAGCAGCCCAATGAAGGAACAGATAGATGACCTGCCTCTTCATTTCAAATAATTAAGGTCTTTCCAACTATGCTTTTTCTATGGCAACTTTACACTCCAAATGAAATGTCTACGAACTTCATACTGAAAATGCATACTCTAAATGTAGAAGAGATTTATCTACAAAATGAGCAGCAATGGCCCATCCATGAAGATGCCCAATGTGTGTCAACACACCTGGGCGTAACCACCCACAGGCAAGGGTTCTACCTGGCCTAACGAAACACCACAAAACTCTGGGATTACCCGGAGCGCCCAGTGGTCACCCCAGATGGCAGCTGTTACAGCATCATAAAGCCTATGCAAGAATGCGCAGGGTTGGCCTGCCTCCAGGAACATGCAGCGAACCCCGAAACCCCCAACCCACTCTGCCTGTTGCACCAAGCGCCTATGCCTGTGGACCACAGGTGGCAACATCTCAGACTTGGCTTTGGAGGACGACCAGGTGTGTTCCACGGGGCAGCAGGCAGCACCTCTGAAATTCAAGTCAACACACCCTGAACAAGCTGAGCAACCTGGCAACCCTGGACAAGGCACAACCAACGTATTTCAGGTAGGTACAAATACACAGATCCAAATCACCTTCCTCAATCCAGTGACCAAGAGCACCCCCAGGAGTGTGGATCAAAACATCCAGAACAGAGACGGTCCAGCCTGACCTCCATGCTGCAAGCCCAACTCCAGTGACCCCAACTGCATCTAGCCTGAGAAAAGCATCCGATCCTTCGTGTACACATTTAGTTTTATTGTAACAAAGCAACTTGTACACTTTTTAACGGTTTAAAACTGAGCGTCTTTTCTTTTCCAGTGGAACAAAAAGAAAATTTAAAAATAAACAGGAACAAAATTACAATAGAGAATGTCAATTCCAAATAAGATCCTACAGGTTCTGCCGATTCTCCCATCGAGTGGCCGGGCTCAGTCATCATTAGGAGAGAAGTTTATTTTTTTTTAAAGTGTCACCTTAGACTGCAAGGATGTCTGTTAAACATGACAATGAAACATGCCAAGGGAGAAGCCGTGTTGTCAGAATGCCCACGGAACCCACCCAAACATCTCAAACCCACCCTTCGCTGACCTTCTAGAACCCCATTTTTTTAAGTTTTTTTTCTTTTTTTAAACAAGAGAAAGTAGACAGGTACATGTTGGTAAATGCTGTCCATATTCACATAGAGACACAGTGTAATCTCTGAGCCCGATATACAGAAAGGAGGGAAAAGCTAGAATTCTATGCACGACTACACAGGGGCCAGCAGCCGCCAGCTCCCGGCCGAGCCCGGGGAGCAGGAGGTTCGATTTTCCCACAGAGAACGGTGGTGTTGATTCCAAACAGTTTGTGGAGACAAGAGGGGGTGAAAATGAAATTTGGAACAGAAAGGGGCAAGAGATTCTTTTCCCACTGTATTCTGCATCAGGTATTAACCCACAATAAAGGTGATAACCACGGAGTAGAGAAAAGAGACCTCAAAAACAGGGAGACTGAGCGAGCACAAGAGGGAAAAAATAAGACAGCAACTTGCTCCCAGGGACTGGAGAAATTTAAAAAAAAAAAAAAAAAGACACACAGAAAAGGTTGGAATCCATCAGTGTTTCAGTCATCTTCGCCTTCATCCTCCTGAAAGAGAAAGTGAGAGTTAATTTCCAGGGTTAATTTTCCAAGGTCACTTTAAACTTTCGCATGAACAGACTCCCACAGAGCAGAATGGCAACTGGCACAAGGAGAGTTCAATTTTCCCTCCACCCACAGGGTCAGCCACGCTGCCGCCTTGGACCCACCACTGACCTAACCAAACCGCTGGGCCCATTTCTTACCAAACCATTTCAAAAACAAATTTTTAAAATTTTTTAGCTTGTAAAACTATGGAGCTCTCAAGATAGCTTACAATTCCACCACTTTCTAGATAAGGTCAGAGAGGCAATGCTAGTGAAATCACCAGTATATTGAACTTGACACTTAACAAGCAGTTCTTGATTCTTAAAGTCATTTTCCTTTGCAAACCCCACCACAATTAACCAAGAATTGACAAAGTGCAATAAAAATCGTGAATTTCTCAAATTTTTTTTTACCTCTCCTTCTTCCCCTTCATCATCATCATCATCTTCCTCGCCCTCATCCTCATCGCCTTCCTCGTCGATGTCTTCCAATCCTTCTTCTTCTTCGTCATCGTCATCATCTTCCTCTCCTTCCCCCTCCTCATCATCCATATCTGGAACCAGGTAGTACTGCAGCGGGTTGGGCCAGATGTCGTCCTTGATGACCTCGCCCAGCTCGTCGGCGCCGGCGTCCGAGTGGTCGGTGAACCAGGTGAAGAAGCTCTCGGGCTCCTCGTGCTGCCGCTTCCTGCTGGCTTTGTTCTGTGTCTGACTCGACCGCTTCGTCAAGTCCTGAGTTAAAATGCAAGCAACTTTTAACAAGCTCTTTAGAACATATCCCCACAATTAAGAGATTTTACCTCCCAAGAAGATATTCACCACTACAGTAGTATTTGCAGTTACTAAAAGCAACTATAAAGTAGCAACTATAAAACACACACGGAGAAAGTTGCAGTAGTCCCGCTAAGTTACAGCTAAACCTTTCAATACAACTAGCTCCCGCTTAACAAACCACTGGGCAGAAGGCGTTCTACCCCACTATATGCACACAAAAATTTACAAGGCTTTGGAAGACAGTGAGACATTTGGTAAGCTCAATCACTAGTGCAGAAACAAAAAGGTCGTATTTCAAGTGTCAAGCCTGCCCTAAGCTCGCAGCTTCCCTACGTGGATGAGCACGGCTTGCTCCAGCTTACCTTTCCGGATTTCCATTTGATCTCAGTGGACTTTGAGGAAGGATCCCCACTCTCGTTCAGATGGAATTCTTTGGAGAGAACTTTATTTTCAAAGTAAGGGTTTTCATCAAAATACTGAAACAAATGGTTCAAATGGCAGCAATGAGTGCAACCAGGTCTTCACCAGCTTAACCCCCACACCGGTGACTCGATCAGAGATACTTACAAAATCTATTCTGTAACCTGATTTAATATCTTCAAACTCTGTCACTTCGACTCTGGTGAGATAATGCAGTGCCTCCTCATCCTCTTCCCCCAGCAGTGCAGACACTAGAGCAGCAACGGCGCAGGTCAGCAGACGTTAACAGGCAAGCACGCCACTGCACTGGCCCCTTACTGAGCAGCGGCTAAATACAGCCAACCTGCTCAGTGTCAGCACAGTCACCACCTCAACCAGCAACCCCAAGGACCCCCGATGGAGTCCCTCTGAAAGCCCAAGGGCCACCTTGGGCAGTGTTGTCCATGCCCCCTCAAGGGCAGTGCTGCCTCCCCAGGGCTCGCCATGCTCTGACCACAAGCTGAACCTACCTTGTGGATGGTTGACAAATGTTGTTACCCAAAAATTTGGGATTTTGGCGATCAATTCTGACCTCTTCTGAAAAAACGGTTGGCGGAGTTTGTTATACTTCTGTTCTACTTTTAAAATCTCCTCGCTGGCTTGTTCATTAAGTCTGAAGCAAATGACATTGACAGTACTTAGCAAACCCAAGATGTGGTGAGAACACAGTAATATTTAGTCAGGCTATCCATCCACCCTGTCCCAGAGCTGACTGCTCAAGACCCAAGTCAAGGCTGCGCGGGCAGTGGCACCCACACTCCAACCAGCCACCTGCCAATATTTCCAGGCAAATTTCAACTGTTTCCCCCAATAGCTGTGCCCAACATTCATTCATTAAGTAGCAAAGTCTTAAGACCAAGCAGGAGCAGCGCTGAAGCCACCACTCAACCCTTCCACCTGCCCGTGATGCAGACTACCCGGAACCTTGAAAAGGACAGCCATTCTCAGCAGGGTCAGTGTGGCACCTGAAGTGCACAAAGCACCACAGAAACACACTGGTTCTGCAGAGTCCTGCCAGCACAGCCCGGCTGCCCCCGGCCAGCCACAGCAAGCCTCCCAGCCAACTTCTCCCTTAAAAGGTTACCTGTCTATTTCATTCTGTACTTCATCGATATGTTCAATTGCTTCTTGTTGTTCTTTTTCTGCAAAAAAGAGCAGCAGAGAACTCAGTACCGACCACAGGAGTTTTCCGGCTGGCCGTCCCAGCGAGATGCTCAGACGGAACTGAGGTCTTTGCCACAAGGCGTGCTCGCTCTCCACGTGTTCCCGCCAGGGCCGGCACACCACTTCACTACAGACCGCTCACACCAAGCCGCCCGCCTGCTGCCCCCAGAAAACACTGGCGTCACCTTGGCCAGGAGTTTGTTACGGAAGTAAACTCTTGGAAGCCCCACGGGCGGCAATGACCGAGGCCCCTCGAACACAACCACAACGTGGGGAGCTCAACGCAGAGGCAGCACTGCGAGCCAGGGCGCAACCACCCGCCTCGAGCCCAAGCACATCCCCGAGTTGGACACTTCCTTCGTGGTCGCTTGCAGTATAGTCATCGAGATCCGCCCCCCAAGTCGGGGAGAGCCCGCGGAACCCCCACACTCCACCCTGACCTTCCTCACTCCTCCACCCAGCATTCAGACCCAGCGGGGTTCAGGGTACAGCCTCCGGCGGCCACCACCACCACGCGGCCGGGGGACGGGGCTGTGCTGTGTGTGCGTTCGGGCCTGGGGTCCCCTTTTGTCCGGCGAGCCCTAGCGAACCCCACCAAGCGGCGGACGGGGTCGTTTCCGGTGCCAAGCCCTCGGCACAGGCGCCCTTCCCGAAGCCCCCACCGGCCCACGTGCTCCCCGCCGCGCTCCCGCACCGGGGCCCCGGCTCGGCGGGCCGGGCCGGGGGCAGAGGGAGGGGAGCCCCGCGAGGCCCGGCCTCTGGGCGGGGATGCCGCGGCGGGCCGGGCGGGAAGGCGCGCGGGGCCCGGCGCGTCCGGCCGCACCATGTGGCGGCGGCGGCGGCCGGGAGCGAGGCATCATGGCGGAGTACAATAAAGAGAGGCGGGAGGGAGGAGGGGGAGGAGGAGGAGAGCGCGGGCGGGGGGAGAGGAAGGGGGGGTCCCCGGCCGCCCGCGCCCCGCAGGCCGCGGCGCCCCGCATCCCAGCCCGCCCCGCGCGGGGGGCGCCCCGCGCCCGGGCCCCCCGGCGCGCACACGCCCCGCGCGCTCCGCCCGCCCGCGCGCGCGCCCCGGGGCCCAGCCGGCGGCCTGCGGGGCCGGGCCGGGAGCCCGAAGATGGCGGCGCGGCCGGCCCCCGCCCGCCCGCCCGCCCGCCTCCGCCCGCGCTCACCTGAGGTCTCGTCGGCCCCGTCGTGGTTCGAGTTGAGCTCTTTTTTACTGACTTTGGCCGCCGGCGCCGACATGGTGCTGGCTCTCCGCGGTCGGGGAGGGGAGCGGGGAGGAGGGGGGGAAGAGAAGGGAAGGCGAGGGGGGCGGGCGGCTTCCTCCCTCACGCCACACGCGCGCTCGCTCTCCTCTCCCTCACACACACACAGACACGCGCGCGGGCGCTCGCTCGGTCCCGGCCGCCTCTCCTCCTCCTCCTCCGGGCGCTGCGCGCTCGCCCTCCCCCCTCGCGGCCTGGCGGCTCAGGCGGCGGCGTGCCGGGGCCCCCGCGGCCGGGGCTCTCCTGGCTCGCGCGGAACGGGCGGCCTCGGCTCCCTCCCTCGCGCTGCCCGAGCCGCCGCCGCCGCCTCCTTCTCCACCACCTCCTCCAACACCGCCGCCGCCGCCACCACCGCCACCGCCGCCACCAGCAAGCAGCACCTCCTCCTCCTCCTCACGGCGAGGGGCGGGCGGCAGGGCGCAGGCGCGCCAGGCCCCGCGCGCACGCCCCGCCCCCGGCCGGAGAGGCTCGCGCCGCCTCGCCATTGGCTGCGTCGCCCGCGGGGGAGGGGCGAGCGGGGGGGCGGAGCCTCGGCGCGGAGACACTGGGCCCGGGCGAAGAGGCGGGAGGAGGACGCGAGCGCGGCGACGTCCGGCGCCGGCCCCTCCCCCCGCGGCCAGCCCGGCCCGGGACATTGGCGCGCGGCGGCCCGGGGGGCGGGGCCTCGCTGCGCGGCGCGCGGGCGCCTCTGCCCCCCACCCCCCAGCCGAGCCGGCACCGTCACGTGGTGGCGGAGCGGCTTCCCTTCTCCACAGGCGGCGTGGGGCGCCCCGTGCGGGCAGGGGGAGTGCTGGCGGGACCCGCGCAGGCCTCGTGGTGGCCGCGCTTCACCATGAGGGAAGAGACCCCGCACGTCCTCTCACACACGCGCGCTCACGCTCAGGGACTCCTCCCTCTCCGAACGGCGCCGGGTTCTGTCACACTCGGGATGCCGGTCCCGCGCGACCTGAGCAGGGCCACTCTGGAGATCTCCCGTTCCCGTCTCCCAGCCCTGTCAGCCGTGGACGAGTCCGCGGGTTCGCCCCCGAGTGGAGGCCCTCCCGAGGGCAGCCTCCTCCATGTCGGGGGGCGCCTCGTGGGACCCGTGGGTGCTGATGTACCGCTCTGGAGGGAAGTCCTGCCGAAGTCGGGCCCACGCCAGAGGCCCCACATTGGCACCAGCGGGCGGGATTCGTAGGCCGCACGAAGTACGGATCAGGAAGGCCCGTTTTGGAGGCAAAGCCCACCCCAGGAACCAGAACTTGGGCGCAAATGGTGTCTCCCACGCGCGCATCGACGGGCGGGTGGAAAAGCGCATGACTGGCCGCAACTTTCTCCCAACTGGAAACCACCTGACCCTTCCGCCAATCAAACCTCTGTCCTTGAGCCCCACACCCGAGCTCTGGCAGGACACCTTTCTGAAACAAAGTTATTAAACCTGCTCTCTCACCATCAGCTCCGAAAGAAAAAAGGGGGGAGAAAAACCCAGCAACCCGGATGCGTAGAATTTGTGGACGTTAGTGAAGAAATACAACACTTTGTTCTCAGGAGACTGCACACCGCTGTGGGCCAGCTGCAAGCATTCTTCTTAGACCTTTCCAAAATACCAGATAGCCACTGCCACACACAGAACAAGATTTTAGAACCAGGCTTGCCAACGCCAAGGCCCTTGCCCTACAAGAATTGTTCACTTTTTCAACGTGACATGCAGTTTAAACAGTCCGTGCGACTTCATGATCCGGTCCAGGCCTACACACCAAACAATACTCGGCCTTCCCAAGAGGGAAATGAAACTGCAATTTTGTGCTGTTTTTCTTAAACGACTGGCCCCACACTCGCACCATTATTTCATGGGATGAAAACCGGGACTGAAAAACACCACGCGGAGGTCTACACATGAAGCCGGGTCCCATGACAGCCCCTGGCCACAGGGTCTGACCCACCTGCTCCCCAGCACCTACGGGGGGCCAGGCACCTCACAGCACAGGCGAGGCAGTGGGCTCCCGGGAGTGCGGGCGTGGCCGGGGCACCTGGGGACGGGGGCTTCACTGGCTCCCCCCGGCTGGCCTTCTCACGCGCAGCTCCTCCCCTCCCTTTCCCAGCTGCCCTTGCAGAGGGGCAGGCAGACGAGCAGGAAGAGGCCAGCTGACAGGGCCAGCTCAGCCCGGACGTGTGCCCACATGCCTCCGAGCCTCCTTGTTTCTGCTCTGGAAGTGGGGTATGCCTGCTGCACGCCGCTGGCAGAAGGCGCAGTGCCCACTGAGCTGCACGAACTATTACACGGGGTGGGGGGCTTGCTGAGTCTGCACCTCGTGTCAATCCTGTCCTGTAAAATGGAAGGAGGCCAGGCGGACTTGGCCCCCACTCCCTGCTTCTGGCACCTCAGGACTTCCCCGCCAAAACAGGCTTCCGTCCCAGGCACTGCCCACCCTGGAGTGTCCGCTGGACCAGAGGCTCTGGGACGCAGTGCAGACAACACCGAGACAAGGAAGCCCCCTCCAGTGCTGCACCCACAAGCAGGGCTGGCCCTTGCAGCGTGCCGCGGCCTCCTGCTCGCCTTCCCGCCTCACCCATCCAAACGTCCCCTCCCACCCCGCTCCCTCGCTACCAGGGACACCTGCTGGCCACCACCGTCAGCTTCGTGTCCAGCCCCCAGCACTTTTGCAAAAGAAAAAAAAAAAAAAAAAGCCCTTCTGACTTCCAAGCTGACAGGTCTGGAGATGAAACTGCCACTGGCCATGTTGGAACAAACGGCGAGGTGGCCAAAACAGAATAATTAAGAACCAGTAACCACACCTACAAAAGGGCGAGGTGGCTCCGGACACTGCCAGCTGGGCAGACGGGGCCTCGAAAAGGCTCAAGGGATAAAGAACTTCAAGGAAAGCTGGGGCTGGTCTCCCCAGAGCGAGGCGGGACAGGCACAGGGAGGGAGAATTAAAAAGGGCCTGGGCGGGCGCAATGGGCATCCGGGACTGAGAACAGACAGCCGAAGCCGAGGTGAGCAGTGGCTCCAGGAGCAGAGCCCCCAGGTGCGTGCAGTGGCAAGGTGAGCAAGACCAGGAAGCGCAGCGCCCACCAGGGTCCCGGGCGAGCCGTGTGAGGGCACTAGGGCTGCCGCGGGAGGGGGGCGCAGAGCCTAGAGCCGCCCCCGCCCCCAGCAAGCCGCAGGGGAACGGAGCGGCGGAGAGGCGCGTCGCACACGTGCTCGGGGTCTCCCAACCCTTCTGGCTTCTCCTTCCCCCTAGCCTAAGCCACTCACCCCCTCGCTTGAAACCCCGCAGGGAGCTTGGAGAGTCACGTCGCCGGGACTCGGAAAGAAACCAGCCGGCGTGATAGCGCGTAGAGCGTGGCTCGGATAACACACCTACCTCTCTCGGGCAGATCCTGAGAGGTTCCTGGATTCGCCGGCTTGGGGCCTGGGGCCGGTCTGGGCTTCTTCGTTTGAGGCTGCAACGAAGCTGGGCGTTTGGGGGCCATGGCTTCAAGGAACTTAGCCTCACCACCAAACGGGAAGGAAGAGAACTGGGACCTTCCCCCAGCGCCCCCCGGGCATTTAACCCGCGGGAACGGAGGGGGTATTTACATGACAGTGCGCCTCCAATCCCTCTCCCCCTCCCTCTCCACCCGCCCATCCTCCAATCAGCAGGAACTTCTTTGGCCTCTCCGGGGAGGGAAACTCTGGGCTTTGGAGGGTGGGATCAGGTCCTCCCTGCATCTGTTAGGTCCTTCCTGGAACCCATCCCAAGTGCTTTCAGCAGCCCTGCCCGCATCGGTAGTCTCCTCATCATTTCCTTAGGCGTCTAGATTTCAACTTGTGCTGTCGGCTTGTCCTCAGCCTAGAACGTTCCTCAGTCACCCCATCCCCCCATTCCCACCTCCAGCTACCTCCTTCCTCACCACCTCCTGGTCGCTGGATTCCCAAAGGGCAGGGGAGTGTTGGAAACAAGGTTTCCCGTTGGAGACTGACGGGGAGGAAGGAGAGGCGAGACGGTGGCCTTTGAAAAGACTTGGAGCAACCATTCTTCCATCACTTCTCTCAGAAAGGGTGGAGGGAATGTGTGGGTTAGGCTCACATTCCCAGTGCCTGGGGGGCCTGCCTGCCAGGAGCCCAGTGAGTTCACCACAGCGCTGAGAAGGCAGATTGGTCCAACCAGTGTGGAAAATTGTGCCAAGTAGGTATCCCAAAGCTGGGCACATGTGTGCCCACTCGGGTCCCCGTGCATTTTGACAACATCAGCAGAAATACAAAGGCTCCAGCCAGGATACCTGTGAGAAATGGGTGCGACAGAGGGCTTCCAGCAGCAAGGTCCGCCACAGCCAGCATCTGGAAGCACAGCTGAGGCTGGTCCTTGCAGAAACACCGCACACGGACGGTACGGTTGTCATTTCATCTGAAACTGCAAAGCTGCTTTCTCCCTTTAAAAATTCAGCAGGCGAAGCTCTGCCCAAGGGAGCAGTGTCACCGGGCAGGGCAACGGGGACCCTCCTGGGGTCCTGGTGGTGACCAAGAGGGTCTACACCCGCAGATTCGATTTATGTAGCCTGGAATGGTCAGGCCTGTCTTTTTTTTTGTATTTTTTTTTTCTTTCTTTTGTATTTATTTGAAAGACAGTGAGAAAGGGAAGAACTGAGACAGGCCGCAGACACACGCCACTGAACGCTCACTTTTGACATCATTTAATGTTGAAGTGACACAAGATACTGTTCATCTTTTTTTAAGATTTTTTTATTAAGATTTATTCTATTTTTGTTGGAAAATCAGACATACAGAGAAGAGGTGAGATAGAGGAAGATCTTCCATCCATTGATTCACTCCCCAAGTGACCACAATAGCCAGAGCTGAGTCAATCTGAAGCCAGCAGCCAGGAGCCTCCTCCTCCAGGTCGCCCATGCAGGTGCAGGATCCCAAGGCTTTGGGCCATCCTCAACTACTTTGCCAGGCCACAAGCAGGGAGCTGGATGGGAAGTGGAGCCGCCGAGATTAGAACCGGCTCCCATATGGGATCCTGGCATGTGCAAGGTGAGGACTTAAGCAAGCTGCTAGGCTACCACGCTGGGACCAATATGTTCATCTTTAGGAGACTCACAGTGACGCCTCAGTACTTGTATCCACTACCTAAGGATGCCATCAGGGAACTGCCGAGAGCCTGCCACTTGGGACAGTGTTAGTTCTTTGTGAAGGAAATCTTCCACAAA